TTGTTTTGAAATAAATAATTTGAACTAGCTAATGGTTAACCGGTAGCTGTAATCGAAACCACTTGCTAAGGCTCTCGTCATAAGCCTTATCTCCTGCTATACGGATCGAACTTAATCGATTACGCATATCCTTGTCAATGAACTTGCTTTTCAAATGTGTACCCTTGCTTCTTTTCCACTTTCCACCATTTCTCATGCGTTGAAATTTCCAACCGCATAAGTAAAATACTCAAACTGATTGACTGTGTGATTCACTATCGAAATCGACGATCTCATAGTCTTCATTGCCAGCTAAGGAATGTGGTCCGGTGAGTTGATCAAATGCGTCATTTATCTAATGAATACAACCATATCAAAGTTCACTTTTAACATACAGTTCCAACTGTTCAAAAAACACAATTAATTAATCAAAACATTTTAGTACCCAATGAATCTGACAAGAAAACATAATACTTACATTTTCGTCAAGACCATGATTTCCATTTGGGGTCTTGCAACCTTGAGCTCAACCAGACCTATCTTTTTTTTTCAAAACACTGCCTTAACATGTCTCCTCTCAAACTGTGTGTTATTGTCTATAAGACCGACAAATGAAAAAAATAATGAGAACCAACAATCAAAGTTCAACTGATTTACCATTTCCCAAAAAATTTATAAGTGAATCTTACCAACTTCTCCATGTTGCGAAAATAAGCTATATCTTCATGTAACATCAGCCTCCAAGAGCATTTTGCACTCTTCAAGAACAAGGACTTGAAGTTGTTGGTTGTCATCATTATCTAATTCGCTGTTAATAGCAAACAACCAAAAACATCAGAATAGTAACCGACAAAAGAAATCAGAAAACATTTGAAATGTAAAAATTATATTAACTCAAATGCTCACCCACAAAAAATATAAAAAATTTCAGATGATGTTGGCAGATCTACACTTATTAGTCTCCTAAATCCATGTAAATTAACATATGTAGTTAAAAAAAAATCAATTATATAACACAAATACCCGGAACATTCTTCACAATAGATTGTCTTTTTCACGCACATCACATAGAGTCAAAGACTCGACTGTTCACAAACGCCTGCAATGTGGCCTCCTCAATTGTGATGAACAAGTTGCGGAGTGTTAACTTTACTCCTCCTCACATAACTATTTAATTGCTTCACAATACCAATGATAGAGCTCTTTGCCATTTGTGATGCGGCCTCTGGTTATGCCTGATTCAAGTTCTATCTAATACAATATTTATTGCCAGATTAATAAAGATCGCCAGGGCATAGAGATACCATACTTACAAGTACTATTAGAGTAGCACTGCCCTAGATTGAATCTCATGATAAACGGTGAAGCATTTCACGCTAACGTCCTTCAGTGATGGAAAGGGTCCCCGCTCGATGTAGTATTGGTCAATAGAGAACAAGTTGAAGGATATCCGTCGAACCAGATGTCCAAGATTGACCCACCTTACAATAAACTCTTCTAGCAGACCTTCATTCTCGAGATCCATTAGCAGACTCCAAACTCTGATGTCAAAGATGTTTCCCTCGCATATTCATTTTCTGTTGGAAAGAATTTACTGAGAAAATTGCAAAGCAAAGATAGGTGATAGTAAAGAATAAACATTATGAATGAAAAGGGGAACTGCAAAAACATCATACATTGGATCCTAAAATTTGTAAAGAAAAAAAATGTGGAGATCATGAAAATTGAAGTAGGAGATAATCGAATTAAATAGATAGATGATTGGTGGTTTTGATTGTAAAGAGTAGTCGACAATTTTGTTCCTCCATTGTTGAAGAGATTAAATGGAGATCGTGGGGAGCCGTTTTTCCGAGGAAGTTAAATGGATATTAATCATAGGTCTTGAACCCTTGAGCTCAATCATACTTATCTACACTTTTTAGTCTTGTAAATCCGTGTAAATTAACATACGCATTTGAAAAGAAATTGCTAACTCACAATTAAGAAATCAACTATACCATAAGTACTGGGAGGATGCTTTGCAATATATCGTCTTTTTCACGCATGCCACGTAAAGACTCGACTCTTCTGTAATGGTTAATCATTCTATTTTTGAGAACATGCAAAAGCTAGTAAACAATTTTTCGCTTGGTTTTCTTTATAATGGTTAATCATTACATGTTTTCTATTTTTTTTTTTGTGTATCTAAGTGATTGTAAGGCAATACTCAAGAAAACTTAGCCGAGGATTTTGAAACCATGCTTTACTTGTTCCATATCTCAAAGTGCCTAAAAAAAATCAAAATGTTATCTAGCCATTTACGAAAAGAATTCAAATCTCGCCTTTTTAAATGAAAAAAATATATGATTATTTGATTTCGAATTACAATTGTAATAAAAATTGCGGAGCAAGTTGCGGAGTGTTAACTTTAAAAAGGCGAAAAAAAAAATTATGAAATGAAAAAACTTTTCATCAATTTTTATTGCCACATACCCAAATCTATCACTCTATTTTCTGTATTCCATGCATCTAAAGAATGAAACCAAATCTATCACTGTTTTCTTCTCATATGGTGGTATTTCAAAAAGAAAAATTATTAAATGAAAAAACTTTTCATCAATTTTTACTGTGACATGCTCTATAACTTTCATCTCTATATTTCATGCATCTTAGGCTTCGAAATGTGGAAAAAATACTTTGGAAAAAAAAGAATAACAATTCATGACATGAGAGCAGAGCAGATCGCAGACAAGAACTATAATACGCTTTTCTCAAGTGCTAGTATGAACAAAGGCATCACTTTTACCTCCCAACGGAAGCACCCATAGGAGATGCAAATTTTTCCATATGAACCTGCGGACAGAGGCGGCTCTTGGGATTTACAAGATTCTTCTACAAAGACAAAAATATTAACATTATAACTCACATTTGTAATAAGAAGTCAGTAAGCAAATTTTTCTGTATACAAAAGCAAGGACAAATATTTAAGCCCGTACATCATCTATTTTCACCCCTTGTCTGATATTAAAAAAGCTCGAAAGTAGCGGTAAAACCCCTTCGTCTTTGCAATGTGTTCCACCTCCAT